CTCCCACTTTTTAGATCCAATACCGTAAATTACTAAAAATGCTGAATTACAAATTTTTATTCCTTCAAATGAATATTTATTAGCAAGTTTTTTTCGTTTTTGTTCTTTTGTTGTAATATTCCCTCTATTTGTTGCTGCAAGAATTCCTTTAAAGAACATGTTTTTTTCATTATTAGTTAATTGATTAAAATTTGATACCTCATAATAGCATCATCATGATCAATTTTATTTGAAGACATTTTTCTTGACAACATTCTGTAATTTGTAATTTTTGCTTTTGAACTTCTTTATCAAATTTATTTAAATTATTTTTAAGATTTTGATATTCATCTTATTCATCATCATCATCAACTTCTGCAAATTTAGCTTGCTAATAAATTTGATAAAATTTGTTAACTTGTTCAAATGAGAAAATTAATTCATCAAAATCATGTAATACTTGCTGTTCATTAAGTTTATCAAGTTCATCAAATTTATCATCATCTTCATTTTCATTATTTTTATTCATATTATGAAGTAAATTTTCATTTTCATTTGATAAATACATAACTTGAAGTTGATTTAAATTCTCTAAATCCTGTTGTAATAAATTAAATTCAGCATGGGTTTCAGAAAAAATATTATTAAATAATATATGGGATGGTTGAAATATGTTGTTATTTTATTGAAGAATACTTTTAAATTTTTTTAAAGTATTTATTTATCAAGATATATTAATATTTTTTAAATTATTTAATCGCAATTTTTTTAAAATAAAAAAAAAGTACAATATTTAATAAATGAAATTCTATAATAAGAAATTCCTATAGAACAATTAGTGCATAAATGAATTTTTTAATTGAAATTATAATTACTGCGAAAAGCTGTAAACTACAAAAATTTTGAAACTCGCAAAAAAATATTGCGCCTTTATCTGCGAAACTCTTAGAGAATCGCAAATTTCTTTGTGAAATCTCTTAGAGATTCACCTTTATCTGCAAAACTCTTAGAGAATCGCAAATTTCTTTGCGAAATCTCTTAGAGATTTGTAATTATCTGCGAAATTCTTAGAGAATCACAATTTTTTTTGCGAAATCTCTTAAAGATTTGCAATTATCTGCATAATTCTTAGAAAATTGCAAATTTCTTTGTGAAATCTTTTAGAGATTTACAAAACTATAAATAATCTTAAATTATGAGTTGCATGATTATACACTAACTCATGAATTAGGTAGTTTTAAATCTATAAATAGATATGCAGTTTTTTATGAATTATTTGAATTATTTAAAAATTTTATTATGTAACCTGTCCTACTTTAATATACTAAAAATGTTCCTCTAGCTACATTATATTAAATGTTCTTATTGGTTTATTTTTTAATTTTTCAACTGTTTCCCCCCTTTCTATTACAAAGAGCCCATATGTTGGCAGATAAAAAAAACATAGATTAGGAACTTGGATATGCTATGACTATTTATACTAGTCAAGGAATAACCCTCAAGGCTTCACAGTGTGTTCAGATTATTGATGAAAACCTAATCTGGGATAACTTAATATATTTAGCAGTTAGTCGTGTGAAATATTTAAGCCAACTCATTCAGGTTAAAATACTCCCATTATCTCTTGAAATTACCCAAGAGATTGAGAAATCAAAAAAGAAAAGACAGCTAGAGCACGAATTGAGACTGTCTATTCAGGAAAAACTTATCAGATATATAGACCAGGATAAGAAAAAAAGCTGTAAATTTGATCTAACAGTTGACTATATTCTCACATTAAAACGTATTTAAGAAGACAAATATGCATTATGTTTTATAGAAATGAAATTTGAATAGGATCGGTCAAGAGATATATTACAATGGACAGTAGATAGAATTCATAATAATTTAGAGCATATCAAAGGGAACGTACGCCTAACCTGTCTTCTTTGCAACTGAAATCACAGAGTCTAGTTCATACTAGTAATCCAGATTAGTAATATAGTGCATATATACAATTGGAGAAGGCAAATTGCAGTACTTACAGATTTTTTCTGACACAATAAATATTCAGTTTATTTTTTTCTAGATATGAAAAATGCCTTCTAAAAAGTATTATACATAAAATTGTGTAAAATGATCACTTGATACTTATAATAGTATATGTGTAGTTATTGCGAATGATAAGCTAACAATGTTTAGTGAAAATTTTTTTGAAGTTGATGTATAGAAATAATCAGAAAACTTATCTCCTAAAGATCTTTGATTGAAGGAGGGATTATCATATTTATCTCAGGAGCTTTCATGTTTTGCGATGATCGAAGCCTTAATTGGAAGTATAGTAATCTTTTTTTTGTGACATATGTTTGAAAAGGATTAAAACATATCTTTTCATCATTGATCCTGATTTATTCGTGATCTTCATTCTATGATGCTCATTTCTGAGATGTCTATTTCTGAGATGCTCATTTCTAACACGTTCATTTCTGAGATAAATTTTCTCAGGGTAAAGCTAATTTCATTTTAGTCTTGATATATGAAAAAATATTTATGTAGGGAGAAAAGACGGCGAGAAATCTTCTTTATGATTTAACAGTATAACTAGTGAATTACCAGCAAGTCCTTTAGAAATTCATGTGGATGATACAGAGATTTTTCAACTTAAAGCAATTTCGTTAAATTTCTTAAAAAATACTTCTGAAATAATTGATAAACATACCCCGAAACTTGATCCTTGCCACTTCTGCGATAAAGAAATTCTTGTCTTACCATTTCTTTCATTCACAGTATTATTATGTAGACATATATATCATCGAATATGTCTTGAAAAACATATTATATGATCAGAAACACATTTTCTTTTATGCCTTATTTCTAGTTGTATATCACCTTTTAAACTTATTAAGGAGGAACTTGCATTAGCTTTTGGTGAGTATCATATGGTGTCTAAGAATAAGAATTTCAGAAAAAAAGATCTCTTAAGTAATGATATTATAGAAGACAAAGATTCTCTTGCAGGTCAGGAGGAAAAGAGAACTGAAGTTACTATACATGATCAAGTGACAAGTCTAATTGCGTATGTGAAAGAGATACCAGAGCTATCAGATATCATCAATAATGCTAAAAATGATGATGATGATGGGAATAACAATTATAATTCACAAATAAGATAGATAATGCAGTAAAAATAGAATATGTAGTAATCACACTCACCTTTCATTCTGTTTATTCCCTGAAATCTATAATTGAAGGATGGATAATTCGACTAATCAAATAACTGAAGATGATATCGCTAATACATAAATCTGATCATAAAGAGAAATATCCCTAAAAACTAATCGTAAACAGGAAAGATTTTGAGGGTTATTACATAAATTATCTATACCTATTAAGGGGAGACTATCGAAACCAATAATGAGGATAAGGATTCTGAGGGTTCAATCTTGTAGAATTTAGCTCGATTATTCCAAAAAGCAATTAAGGCTGAAAAGTGTGTAACTCAAGCTTATTAAGAGGAAATTCACTGTTGATACTACTATGCTGAACAGTTTGAAAAAAATGTTAAGAATGTTAAAGATAATGATAAGAGGGTTAAAAATCAACAGGCTAGGATCTAGGTATATAATGCAATTTTAAAACATCTTTCAAACATTACAAGAGAAAATTTATGTAAGAAGACACAGAAGGCAAGAAATATTTTCGAATTGTTCAGTAAAATAGGGATTAAAAAAGTTAAAAGGATTCAATCCTATAGTGCGGATAATATTTCAAAGCTTACAGGTACTCAAATCAAAAGTATTATAGCTCATTTTGCTCAGAAATCATAAATTCTTTGCAGATCGCATGAACTATGATTCACGTCACATGATCACTGCACCATATAAATAAAGTTAGTTTGCAAGTCATTTTAACCAAATGTATGCTATATATAGGTGATGTGACGTTACTTTATTGCAAGACTTGTCAGAAAGATTTTATCATATAATTAGCTGGTAGATCCTACTTCTATTGGTTGAAAATGAGAAGAGTTTTTACGATTGTTATATGATACAATATGTATTGGCAAATCAATGGGTCGATTACGTCTCAAACTTTTTTAATATGTTAATTTTCCTTTTTTATTTATGATTGGTTCTTATTACATCATTAGATAATATTATAAGAAAAAAAACATATCTGTTTGTCATATCAATGAGAATAAAACGTTTTTTTATTGTAGTGAAAAATACAGAAATTTATTATGTTAGTTTCGTAATACTAAAAATTTACAATGAAGTTACACTTTATTGCCTTTCAAGAAAAGAACTTCATCCTGCTAACCACTACATTTTATAGTAACACTTTTATAGTCATTCACATAAAGAATGTACCAAAAGTTTGTTTTTAATTCCTTTACTTCTTTTTGATAACATCAGAAATCAATGATAGCCTAATTTTTCATTGAAATCTTGTCATATTTACCACCATTAACAAATCTTTCTGCATGCTCTTTCAAATAATTATCTTCCTAAATTAGCTCAATTCCCCAACAATAATTACTGTTAACAAAAAAATCTAGAAATCCGTTTATGCTAAATGTAGCACCAATATCAGAACTAACTAATGTATCCTTTAAGGTTACGGTTGTTGCAGTTCGATATCACTCTATTTGCCAAGTTCTCTCAAGTAAGTGTACATCAAATCCTTTTCTATACGAATTAATTAATGTAGAAAGGCTCATATGTTCAATGGTTCGCTTCAAAAATTCCTCAAAGTTAAGTGTAGGTACTTTTATAAGAGGTGAGGTAAACAAGTGGTGACTCATTACAACTCGAAAAATGGGGCAGTGAACTGTACTTGTTCAGAATCTGCTACAAAAAGTGTTATTCTGACAAAATTCTTGGTAACACTATCTATACTAAAGTCAATAGAAAAGGATCTACCAGCTTGATTGTTAAGTAATACATTTCAAATAAATTTGGCTTCTCCTTCAGTTAGATTCTAATTATCAATCTAATAAAATGCACGTGAACCTTTTATTACATTAATAGTTCGACTTGGTGAAGCAAGATAATGTAACATTCCTATTGTCAAAGCTTCATCATTTTTTTCAGCTAGAAAATAATTTGATTTATCCTTATAATGAGTGTATAACAAATCCAAAATAAATTGACACAAGCCTATATGACCTCCAGTAAGAGAAAAAATCGCATCTGCAATTTTCTGAAGAATCTTAAACAATAGGCTACCACCTAAAATATGTATTCAAACATAAAATCTTGTAAGATCTTTGAGTTTTCCCTCAGCTAAAAGTAAGAATTTCAAGCTAAGAGTATTGTCGTCATAAAATTTCACATATATAGGTGTTTCATTCATTTCATTCACAAGTATTGGGTCGTATATACCAAAAAGGAGTATATAAATATCATTTTTGTTTTTGTTCTCGCTTGACATAAGCATTTTTACTTTACCCCAAAAATAATCAGCACAGTTACCATAATAACTTGTATTTCGTCTATGAAAACATAAATAGTCCCTGTGTTATCACTGATTTCTGTCCAGCTACAACTAACTTCGTTCCTCTAGAAATTTTCAAAATATTCCTCAGTTATTTGTTTTCTACCACCTAACCCAGCTAGACTTATGTAGAAACTATTACAATTAAAAAAATAGTCTCGAAGCGTTTGACTTAGGGTAGTTTTTCCTGATAATAGTGGACTTCGCAAAAGTCTAATGTGATTTATTTTCACGAATTTAATGATTTCATCTAATCTATTACCTGAAATAAAAATAAGACTATCACGGCCTTCCTTTGATTCTAAAGAATAGTCAGATTTTCCTCTCTTTCGACTTTCACCTTCTTTATTCTCTTTCAGTCTTCTCTTTCCTGATCAAATAAAAAATATAATATGTGCAATAATGCGAATTTCTTATTCGAAAGGTAAACCATTAGGAGATACTTATCAGTAGTGGTGGGCTGTGACAGTTGGACGATGATGTGGATGATCTTTAGAGATGGTTATTGTTGACAAAAGTCTTTTGGAATATCATCTGATAGAATAAGCTTTTGGCCTTTGAGATCTCGTTTAATATCAATTTCTTGAGGTTGTTTATCAAGAATACTCAGCTTAAGTCTCAGATTGCATAATATGATCTTCATTAAACGTCACGATTGATTTTGCAACACAATCAGCAGTGAAAAAATAAATGCACAGTAATATTAGTCTGCTTGTGCGACATAAGATTTTTTTCTTACTGCGATCACTGAAGCCTTGTTATTATTTTCTTTGAGCCAACTCGTTAAAGCGAAACTGAAGTATCGCAGTTTGAAAGAGGCATTAGCGAATAGTTATTGAATGAAGTATATTTCTTTTCGGTGTGTATTTACGAGAAAATGACTTCAGGACTCGTAAGTGAATGTCATTTTTTGTACAAACTTCTGAGGACCTTACTAGCATCACAAAATGCAAACAACATAAGTTTTAGTAAGGCATTTTGTTTTATCCAGAATATTGATGATTGGGACAATAAAACTGAACTATGGTAGTGTAGACAAGCAAAAAACTACAGACATTAGTATAGAAATGTCATTTTACTTTGTAAAACAAGTTTATGTATTACCAAATCTTGTAATTTATTTTTTACATCAATAAATCAATAATTCTGATGAGGATATTACCTCGTTTTCTATCTATGCTAACGAAATTTTGAATTATTCTATCTTATATAAAAATTATTATTGAACATGCAATCCATTGATTCATTGAGAGAATTAAATTCCAAGCTCTTAGCTGAGATTGCAGATCTTAGGAAGGAGAATGCTGAGATTCCCGAACTTAAAAGTTTTAAAATAAGATATAATATTTTATATATGCTTTATTTTAATAAGTTTTTAAACTTTATTATAATACATATAATAACAGTTATATAACTTAATAAAAGATACATTTTTTATTATTTTAATATATAATATGATTATATTAATTGT